CTTGAGCTTAGAGGCCACAAAGAGCTGCCAATGGGCAGCCAGATGGTGATTGACGCCCTCCACAACTAAGATTGAAGAACAACTTGGCTGGTCCCCCTCCCCAGTTCCCCAACACTGTTTCCCTCCCCCAATTCCCCAATTTTTTAAAAAAAGAACTTTCTAGAGCTCACTCAGGACTTCAGTCACCTTCTCCCTTTGCTTCTTCTTGCCCTGACAGGGCCTTGTTTTCAACCTAACCTCTTGTGATCTGGCAAACAGTTGTCTCCATTTCCCTCCACAAAATAGAAATCATGTTTGATTCTCAACCATAAAAAAATGAGAATAATTGATATTTATACTCTTCCTCTGAAAAGATTATTTTTACCACAGTTTCTCTTAATTCTATTTTGGAAGTCTTGTAACACTGTAATTTCATAGTTATGTATTTTTAAAGTGCATTCTCCTTGATAAAAAAAAACCTCACCACAGTAATAATTCAAAAAAACAATAAAGTTACCCTCTTTTCCTAAAAAAATAATAAAACATTGGGAAATAGGACAAGATCAGAATCTGGCTGGCACTAATGCAGCATGAAAGAACAGTTTAAAAAGGACAAGGAAAATGGTGGTGCATTATCTCATTTTGGGGGGAGTGAAGGAAATGAATTAAGGCCGCAACAAAACGAAACTGAAAAATTGCTAAATGAAGCTCTGAGTAGGGAAAATGAAAAAATCAATGAAGGAACGGAGGGAAAGAGGTACATTTTTCATCTTCATGATGCTTGATTGGGTTTGTAGAAATTCATTTTCAATTAATGTGTCTTGTGGCATTCAGCCAGGCTAGATATGATCAGGGCACATATTTTAATCAATTTTTCTATTAAGTTTGAAGTAATATATAATAATAGAGCTATACCACTCAAAAGGATCAGCTGAAACTGGCTTCTGGGGTAAAATAATTTTGTTTGATTTCTATCTTATATTAAAAGTAACCCAACTTCTCTTGAAGGAGAGGAATAGCAACCTGAGTCTCCCGGGTGCCTAAACATGACTGGGCTGTATAAATATCAGGGAAGGATGAATAAAATGGCTTTGCAACCTGCTTACATTCAAAGGAAAGCAAGAAAGAGGGGNATCCTAGCAAAGTCACTGGCCTTCTCTGTGCCTTCTTTTATAATGTTGGTTAACGCAGAGATAATAATCCTTGTCTCATTTTTTTTTAAGTTGCTAAGAGAATCACATGAGAAATGCATGTAGAAAGACTTCACAAATTATAAAGCACTACATAAATGTGGGAAATTATTAGTATTAATCAAAAGCTCATCGAACTTGCTAAGAAAATTCTTGAACAAGGAAAACAAGAACCAGAAAGCAGAGGTGAGCGGTTAAGCGGAAGGAGGAGGGCCCAGTGGTAAAGAAAAGCTAGCTGCCAGAACCTCATTTTCAGTGGTGGCAGTTAACCTTCAATCAATTTTATAAGGCCAGGAAATAGCCATATTTTTAATTAAGTGGCGATGGGAGGCTCAGCCATGTAAAATGTAATGGTAGGGAAGACACCAACTTCAAGAAACACAGCTTCTTACCTCTCCTTCTAAGAAAGATATCTTTTCTAAAAGTTGCAGTATTAAGAGCTGTTTCTGTTGCACCTTTTTCTTTAATGATTCAATCTAGAAAAAAACACATTGAAAACTGTTAGTCCAAAATACAGAATTGTACAAGTTAATCAACTAGAAGAGATGCCTTTGGTTTTCATTTAAACAGAAACTACACATTGGTTGTGTTTCAGGAACAGTATTCACATAAGATACTCCATGGAAAGGGGATGCTATGCCCAGGTAAGCTTGGGACATCAGACATGAGGTTGGAATCACGTGTCATTAGGTTTGTGTAACCTAACCTGCCCACACTGATACTGCTGTGTAACCCTTATTACCACCCCATAGGTATCCCAGAGAACATGCTTTGGGAAATGCAGATACAACTCCACATAAAATAATTATTCAGCTTAAATCTATGAGGCACCCATCATATCAAACCTTCCGCACTGTTATTCCTGTTAGTGCATTCATATTTGTTCAACCAGGTGTCAAAAATTTTGGTCTGGGGAAAGCGTCACTGTCACTGAAAGTGCTAATGAATTTCAGAGGACTGGGGACTCACGTGGCCTGGGGTAAGCAGGGAAGGCTTCCTAAAGAGAGAGGCTTGAGCTGAGCTTTCACCTGTTTTTTTCATAGATATATTTTATCTTGTACTGCTCTTTGTTTTTCATTCTCATATCATGTCTCCACAGATAAACTGTAGGCTCCCTAAAAGCAGGAACCAGGGTATTCTGTACCAGGCCATGTCTTGGACACTAGTGGGAACAGAGTATAGGTTCATGAAATAACTTGTGACTTTGAAGAATGCACTGATTTTCCAACTATCTTGTATATTAATTTTTAGCATTTGCAAAATCTTTTTTAAAACACCTCTCAGTGAAAAATTGCACAATTCCTGTAGAAGGGAATCTAGCAATAGCTAGAAAAAGTACAAATATACAGTTGCATTTTACCCTTTGACCCAGCAATTCCAGTTCTAGGAACAGATCGCAAAGACACGTTGGCCAACATAAGAAATGGATAAGCGAAACTGCAAAGAAATCTCTCATTCACTAGAAAAATTGTTAGTAGTAATACTGGTATTAATATTAGTTTCAAAATAACATTATTTTGAAACTATTTGATATATTGTAGTATAATGTTTGGAACCAAGATTTTTAGTTTAAGAGAAAGAAATGCAAGTATGAAATCAAAGAAGTGAAAAGAGCTTATTAAATTTGAAATAAAAATATCCGTATGAACTCATAATCTTTTATTTTCTTTTGTTACACATGCATTTCCTAACTCTGTCCACTGAGAAAATTAGAAACGATAACAATGAGCACATAATATATCCAGATGGTGGCTTCTAAATACCATTCCTCACCAAATAAAAAACACCGAATATTTTGAAGGAATAGCCCAATTCAAGGAGCAAAAAACATACTACATGAACCCAAGATACCTTATTATGCCTGGAAACAAGGACATGAAGGGTCTCCCTTGAGCCAAGGATGGGACAATTTGAGCATCAAAAAAAATAATGAATGCAATTGAGTAAAACACATAGAATATATATAACCCTGAGTGTTTTATGATTCTTCAAAAACAAAAACAAAACAACAACAACTCATTGGACATCATTGAAAGTGACAAGAACACAAACCCCTTATTTAGAAACGACAATTCAGAGAAAAGAGGTAAATCATTTTTCCTGCCTTTCTTGTACAAATTGCATTTTGAGATTACTGAAAATTCCTAGTTTATGAGGGAAAAAGTTATACTTTTCAGAATTCCAGTTAATAAATGGGGAAAGAATGATAGATTTAGGAAAATCCCCATTGTGCAACCCCTGTGAAATAACTGATTTAGGTAACCATCATTAATAGATGAAATGGTGAGTTGCAAAGTTGATAAAGAACTTTACAGGGCTGGCAGAGTGGCACAATGGTTAAGAACTGGCTTGGGACGCCAGAGGCCCCAGTTTGGATCCCACATATGAGGGCCAGTGACACTGCCCTCTACACCTAAGCTGCTGAACAACAGCTCGACCTGGAGCTGGGCTGCTGTGAGTCGCTGGCAATGGCGTAGGCTGCAGCCCCTGTGGCAGTGGGTTGCCATGGGCTACGGTGTGTAGCCAGCAGCCAGCGTGAGTGGCCAGCAGCTGCAGTGAGCGGCCATCCAGAAGCCAGCGACTGATCTGCCTCGCCCGGGAAGAGCACAATGATGGTGCCAACTTGGGCCAGTGAAGCGACGTCCTCCACAACTAGANAAGAATAAAACGAACTGTAAGGCAGGCTGTCCCTGGACATTAGGGCCCATGGGACGGTGTGCTCGTTGTTGGTGGTCAGACAGCAATCGGGTGGAAAGAAGGGCAACAATTCCTTGGCATTAGTGGTCACACACAATTAGCAAGGAGACAACAGTCAGCAGTGTGCTTGTAACATGACAAACCAGTCACACAGCCTAAAAAGGAAAACCAAGTGCTCAAACTCAAGCTCACTTTCTAGGCGAGGAAACCTCTACATGGCCCAACTAAGTATGGTGAAATATTAATAAGGAATGCATATGTTTTTAATAGTGCTGAAGACCAGGTCCTGATAAGGTGTCCTGAGTTTCAGTCACCCTGAAGCCACCTATTCCTGTGACCCAAGAATCAGCAGGTACCTACCCGCGTCCTCTAATCTTAGCTATTCAGAAAAGGAACCCTGTCTCCTTTGGATCTGAAAGATCATGGCGCCTGTCTGGAAAGTGCCAAAATGATGTCAAGTCTCAGAAAACACTGAAATAAGGGAAACAATAGCCTTTGGAAGATATAAAAAAACAAGAACAGAAACAATGAAGAAATAAATTACACTCACGATATTTAATATTTTAGAACAGGTTCAAGTGTAATTGTATTATTAAATCTTGTCATGATATAACTTACTTTGTACACGTTTTATCTGCTGTTTAAGGTGGATGTTTAAAGTGGTCAAAAGGAATTAGCCACACTAACTTTATAGTGGAATTGAAATAGTTTAAAGGAATTTAATCTATCAAATTTATAATCAATGTTGAAATGCTCAAGAAAAATCGGTTTCAAAGTCTTGCTTATTAGATATATGCAGTAGAAATAAATGCTAGTTTCACCCGTATCCTCTGGACACTCACCATTTCCTGACATACCACTTGTGACTCTTTACCCGGGGGCTTCCTCTGACCACCAGAGTCCAATCAGCTCTGCCCAGAGCAGGGTAGAATTGCCACACACCCCCGGGAGCAGGCCTCAACCCATGACTGATGGGAGCTTGTGAATAAATGTTCCAGCTTTCTGACCTCTCAGAAAGGATAACTCGAAGCCAGTTGCACACCCCACTGTGGTAATCTCCTCAGTAAGGCGCCCAGTATTGCCTTTCATCCCTTCCCTGTCTCATTGCCCCACTCCGCTACTAAGGTATCCTGGGATCACCACTCAAACTGTGTGGGCTGATATCCATATCTCAGGGTCTGGGCAACCCAAACTAAGAGAAGAAATGAATTTAAGAAACTGAGCATTAAACAAAGAACAAATATGAGTGTAAGGCCTTTCTCCATGCACAATATCCCCTAGAACAATTCATAATCTAGCAGTAGGAGAGCTGGCTTAAGTAGCATGGCCAGCGGGAGGGAGAGGGCTGATGGGCACAGTCTGGGTGACCTCCTGCCTCTCTTGTCAGCATCTCCTTCCTCTCTCCTGGAACCACCCTCTCTCTAGACCCACGAGCTTCCACTCACTCTCTGATTCGCACTGGGAAAGGTGTGATTCCTTCCTCAGAGAACTGTGATTTCAGAGGGCAATCTTAGAAATAGAAATCTCCATTCCTAAGGCTGGGGCTGGACCCAGTGCCTGGAGGGTACACAGAGGTGGGCAGGACAAGTATCCGTTTACTCAGATGTCAGGACACTGAGACTCTTGGGCCTTGAATCTGCCACCAGGGCCCCATGGGCCATGAGGGACTTCTGGTTGTGATTTATGTAGGCAGCTCCTCCAAAACAGAGCAAATGCAGGCTGCGCTTGCCGCTCCTGTAAACACGGTGGTTAAGAGCTCGAGCTTTGATTTCAGGCTTACCCATCTCTACTGTCACCTTGGGCAGGTTCCTTAACATCCCTCAGTTTCCCCATCTACAGAGGGTACCAAAAAAACTGTATTAAAATTACACTGATGGTAACCCACTTTGAGCACCTCTTGTAATTGCAGAAGTTAAACGTGACTTGTATTCATCTTTTGTTATCAGTATATATTGAGTATTCCCATTTTAATAGTTTTTTTCCTTTCTTAAAATGCATATACATTTTTTTGGTACCCTCTATATAAACTGGGGGAAATATAATGTAACTCATAGGGCATCTCTCTTAATAAAAAGCAAACAACACCAACAAGTTAAACATTATCAAGTGCTTAGTACATGCCAGGTACTTTGTGCATTCTCACCGCATGGTCACACACATGTAGGGGCAGCTATCGTCCCAATTTTAAAATTATAAGAAACTTCCCCAGGGTCACCCTGCTAATACGAAGCAGAAGTCTGATTCTACTCTTAACTTCAATGTTATACAAAGGATGTGGAAAATAGTTAACAGCACCCAATGAATACTAGGTGCTTAATAAATGCCGCTTCTTTCCTGGTTCCTTCTTTCATCCTTCTCTCGTGGGCTGCCTCCCGCGGGGGAAGGACTACAATGAAGAGACAGACACGGAGATTCATGGAACCTCAGAACAAAGAGGCTCAATGCCAAGCTCT